GTGCCTCATGACCAAGGGTTTGCATCCCCAATTCAACCTAGCAGCCAAACCCAACCCAATCCAAGCCAACCCAACACAATGCATCAATGAATGATCGGATGAGCAAATCTACAAACCTCGAAACAAAATAGATCCGATCCAACCATGCATCCATGAATGAACTTACGAACGCAGGAATGAATGAAGAAACCACAACGAACGAACGAACAAACCAACCAGTCAGACAGACAGACAGACACAGACAGACACAGACAGACACAGACAGACAGGCAGACAGACAGCCAGCACCAGCCAACTAACAAACCAGCCAGCCAACCAGCCAACCAACCAGCCAGCCAACCAACCAACCAATCAAGCCTGGCAAACGGGGCAACAGCTGTCACATACGGTGGGTCAAAATTAAACCACCAAAAAACCAATGATTCCATTTGGGGGGCTTAAGGGGGGCTTAAGGTCAAGACCTTAAGGGGGGGCTTAAGGGGGGCTTAAGGCGGGGCTCCCTTTTGGGTGCATATTTTTAACCCACAGCCATACAAAGAGCCCCAAAGGATTGGAGCAACCCTTTGGCCCGAGAGGAGAACTCAACCAGAACCTTGCGTGTGTCATGGTTTTCCCTCCCACAGACCACCCTACTTTCCAGAGATTTGGCTGTGGCTCAAAAAACCGGTGCCAAAATGGAACCCTTAAACCTGCGTAACCCCTCCCGTATAATTTTGAGCCACACCCGATGTGTTCCGTGTGATGACTCGAATTCCCTGAAAGAACCGTTTTGGGGCTCGATTTCCCACAACTCACCTACCTCCTGCCCCAAATGTCGTGAGAGGCTTCCCCCACCGACGTATGCGGTCGGACCCCTTCGTGTCTGCCTTTTTTCTTGCCAAACAAAACAAAAACCGGGTAGGTACAACGGGTTTGAGGTGGGGGTGAGGGAAACAACAACGAAAAAAGAGCTCGCTGCAAAACAAAGGCTGGGGGCGTGAATTTTTGGGGGGGCTATCAAAAAGTCGCAGGCTCCAACTCCTTCCGATCCCTTTTGTTCCTGCCCCCAGGTTCCATGGCTTATCGCATATACCACTATCTAAAGGGTATACTCCATTTTCCGTTTGTTCCGGGTCAGGCGCTGCAAATCTAGGTTTCATGTGAAAAATGAAGGCGAATAGTTTTTGCCCGTTAAAAACCCGTCTAGAACATGGGTTCCCCTTTGGTTTTCCTCAGGCCATCCCAAAGCCATTGCCCTCAACAACAAAACCCACACCCCAAATCGGCGCGTGTTAGAGGAATCGGACCCCTTCCCCCCCCAAAGAAAAAAGTGGCAACACGGTGTCCCTCTTGGTTTCCCTTTCAACCCAACCAACTCTATCAAACGACGAGTTCCCCATCCCAATCTGTTTCCCGGGTAGCCAAAACCGCCAGATCCTCTGCCTCCCATGTCGAAAACCCGGGGGCCCGGGCTGCGCTGCCGCCTCCACAATCTGGTCCTTCAAGGTGGGCACGCAGTCCTCGAATCGCCGAAGCGGACGCATGACGCGAGCAGAGGGCGCCAGGAACTCCACCCCCGGGAGTTGAAGCGCGCCCGAAAGCCAACCTGCGGCTTTGATTGTTTTTTATCATTGACCCGGCGTGAATTGGGAATGAACTTTATTTAGGGACCCTTTGGTGGACATCATTTAGGTGGGGATTTCTGTCCACCAATCACTTTTTAGGGGGGGGTTCCGCATTAAAATTCATAGCCAAATAACTCCGACTCAAAAGATTTGCCAGCCTTTCGGAGTGTGAGGCGCCGAGTGAAGGATCCCCTCTCAATCAAATGGGACACGGAGTTGTACTCATCGGTTTATGAAACTCATGCGCACCACAGAATTCAGGGGTCGGTTCCCTCTGCTTCCCCCTGATTGGTGGTTTGGAGGATGGCGGTTTGGAGGATGGAGGGTTTCAACTGAGGGTTACCTGACATACCCTCCCAGCAATTAACATGGGACCTGACGTTTCGTGAAAAGGCTGGGAGCGTATATCGGGCAACCCCTAGTTGGTGGTTTGAATTTGAACCTCTGGTTCTGGAGTAAATGGGAAAGTCTCCTTCACCGGCACACCAATCAGAGGGAAGCTGAGCATAAAGTGAAACCACTTCTGATAAATGGTAGGGTAAAGGGAAACAAGCCCCAGTACTTTTGCAGCACCTAGACAATCTGAAAGTTACCCTCCACAAAAGCCAGAAAATTCAAACCACCAACTAGGGGTTGCCTGATACACCATCCACAAAAACAAAACATCTAATCAAAAGATGAAAAAAGGAATGAATGAGTAAATAAACATACATACATATATGAAAAAGAAGAGGGGGAAAAAAAGAGGGAAAACAAAGCGCCCCTGGCCCCAAGCGCTCCGCCACCGCTCCTTCAGCAGCCGCAGCGCGGACTCGCAGCTCTCCACGGAGCTGGCGGTGCTCGTGTCGGCCTCGGTTACAACGGCCGACCGCGTGGCCGGTGGAAACGGCGCGTCCCCAGAGGGCTCAGTACTCGAAGAAACCACACAAGAGATGTGAGAAGCAGTGAGTACTGAGTACGCACAGTACCCAAGGGCGTGTTTATCACATAAAGCAAGCAAAAGAAGAAAGAATACAAAAACAAATTAAGCAAACAAACACAAAGAAGCAAACAAACAAAGAAAGAGAAACACCAGCCAAACAAACAGAACAAAAGCAAGCAAGCAGAACACGCACACAAAAAAGAAAAGAAGCAAACAAACAAGCAAAATAATGAGGCAAACAATAATAAATTAAGTAAACAAGCAAACAAAAACAAAGAAACAAACAAACAAACAAACAAAGCAAAACAAACTGCCCCAAAAACAAATAGGCGCAAAGAAAAAGAAGACAAAGCCAAAATGAGTAAACAAGCTACTAGGCTAATAAGCTACTAAGCAAACATAAGCACATGTCAGCAAATATAAGCAAATATAAGCAAATATAAGAAACAAAGCAAACAGACACGGACAGACAAACAGGCGGACCATCAGGCAGACAGGCACACAGGCAGAACTTGTTGTTGTCAAAGGTTTGGTGACTGATAGTCACAATTCGAAACAAGAATCAAGAAAAAAGAAGAAGAAAAACATGAGCCACAGCCAACGAACAAATTCGGTAAACAAATTCAAAAATTTGTCTGTGCCCAACTGCTACGTGCAGCTGTTGCGGGTGTGCAGTTGAAAGCCGCCAACCAATGGTATATCTAGAGCACAACCAATCAGGAAAATAACGCAAAAGAGCAAGAAAAGTAACAATAAAAAAGGGCAAATACACAAGCCGACAAGCGGACAAGCCGACAACAGGCAAACAGAGTCAGAAAACCAAACAAACAAAAAAGGCAAACAAGACGAAAAAGCGAGAGAGAGAGAGAGAGGGAAGGAAGGAAGGAAGGAAGGAAGGAAGGAAGGAAGGAAGGAAAGAAAGAAAGAAAGAAAGAAAGAAAGAAAGAATTAAATAAAGAAAGAAAGAAAGAAAGAAAGAGAGAAATACAGAGAGAGAGAGAGAGGGGGAGGAAAACATGCGATAGATATAAAAATTAGACTAGATTAGACCAGAGTTGATCAGGGGATAGGCTACGAAAGGATGGGGTAGGATAGGATAGAAGGACAGATCTGGCTGTTGGATTAGACTAGATTACATTGTATTACTAGACTACATTGATCAGTGCAGAGAAGATGCATCTTAGAGTAGCTTCGACAGCTATACAAATAAATAGATAGCTGGATGGAAAGACAGAAAGACACATCGCACGACAGAAAGATAGAACGACAGACGGAAAACGAGATTTAAACGGAAAAAAAAGGACGAAATATGCACTGAGCCCTCGGCCATTCTGAAGACTAGCGGCAGCAAAGCTGGCCTCAGGCGCGAGGCGTGGCGCACGGGGGTCAAATCACCTTCCCCTCACATTGGTGTTTTGGAGCCCGGAGGTTCGGTGTTTAAGGAGGGAGGCTTCCCATTTACCCCCCACACGCCCCAGGGAATCAAATCCGAATCCAAACCACCAATTCAAGCCACCAATTGGAGGGAAGCTGATCAAACGTGCCAGGCCGGGCATCCGCCGGAAAACGGCCATGGCCAACCCCTCTTGACTTTCCCTGAAAAGCCGACCCTGAACTGAAAAGGCGACCCTGAGAAAGCACGCGGATCGCTTGCAAGGGCAACCCCATTTAGAAATGGTCACCCAAGTGGACTCCGAGACCCTGTAAAGCCTATGTTTCGCTTTTATAGGAAACACCCATGCCCATTTGACCAAAGCGAATCTGGTGGCCAAATTTGCCAACAACCGGAAATAAGGCAGACCACAAGTAAGGGACTTTCATGTGATGTTTTTTGTGTTTCCCTTGCGGGTGCTGTTCCTTGAGCGATGAAACAGAGACAAAAAACAAAAACAAAAAAACTTATCACGGAAAGTCCCCTTCATTGGCCTGTTCTCAAGAGTAGAGGTGACCATCTGATGGTCAAAACTTATTCACCCCCAAAAGTAGATGTGACCATCTGATGGCAACTCAGAGCTGTAACTCATACTTTTCGTGATTCCCACAAACAACTCTGAAACCGCAGTTGAAAAGATCCCCGAGAAATTGGAATGACCGCGGCAGTGCGCTTCATGTCAATTGCTGCAGCTTGAGACCTCCATCCCGAGATTTTGGGACGGAGAACCTTTCTTTCGCATTGCTTTGCTTGGCAGAAGAAGCTTCTTGGCGGTCCATACCCCTCGCAAAACTTGTCCAAGCGCCAGAGTAAGCGCGTACGTTCCCATCTTTTCTAGGTCCTCCAGTAGAGAGGTTGGAATAAGGGTACCCTTTTTGCTGTAGTCTATTTCAGTAGGGGAACCATCCCCCAAAAAAAGTAACGGTGCAGGGGCACCTAGCTGGGGGACCTAGTAGAGCCCTTTAAGCCGCATACCAGGCAGGAACTCCTACCGCTCGAACTCTGAGCCCCCTGCCAGCCCGAAGGGTTGCCCGGCGCGAGGCTCCCTCTGGGATCATCCTCAAAGGAAATCGCGATTCAACAGGAAGCAAGCGGATTTTGGGGGTCAACAATAGGATAACCCCAAAATGGCTCGCCCTGGTAAATGGCAACATGGACTAAAATCTGCGGTCCCCTGGTGATTTAATATTGACCCACACCCAGGTGTCTTCTTTTTTTTCCGGAGAATACCCTGTTATGCGCTTTTAAAGGGGAAACCAAGCGGAAAACCAAAAACCATTCTTGGGCTCCGATTCCTGAAAAAGAAACGACGCGCTCATTTCTCGGTTGCGTCGTCAAGTTGAAAGGAGTTTCTTGGATCCCTACCTTCTGAAGGCGGGGGGGAGGGAATTCCATTTCCTAGCCTTCAAAATGTTGGGAAATGGGCTGCCAGAAGTGGAATTCGGAATTTAGGGTCACCGAAACTCGAAACTCCCCCCCAAGTACCCATTTCCATTTCCAGGTGAGGATCTTTAGCCCCAAATTGGACCCGGGGCCCCCAAAATCCGATGGAAGCTCGGCCCGCTTTCAGAAAACTAAAGGCATCCCTTTTGGAATCGGTGCCCGGAAGACATCCAAACCTGGGCTTTCGCCGAAAACCGCCAATGATCCCCTCCAAACCTCCAAAACCCAAAACAACCAAAAACAGCTTCCAAGACCAGCCTCCGAAAAGGGGGAGAACAAACAAATAAGAAGAAAAAAACAAAAAGGTTCCAAACCACACGAGAGGCGTCCATCCAAGGCAAGGGAGTGCTTTGGATCCACGGATCGGTTTGGATTGGACTAAGAAACCGATCGCCAAAAGGGGGAAGTCTAGACATAGAAACCTTTTTCTTCGGTGCTGTGGGGGTTTGGTTAGACCTTCTCCTGTTGAAACTCAACTTCAACTAGGCGTCCTTTGAAGGAAAAAAAGCAACGATCTTCCATGTTGGAGTCCCGAGGAAAAGGGAACCACAAGCATATGCAAGGCCAAAAAAAACTGTCCCCTTTGGGAGGAATCTCCTTTTGCAGGGGGTCTTGGAAAGCGTGCCCTGTCTCCGAATGATTTCGCCAAACGTCCTGAGAAATCACCGACCCAGGGTCTAGGCGAAGCTGGTCATTTGAGCCTCTTGTGAGCGTATTAAGGAGGCAAAGCTGCCCTCTTGAACAATTTGTAAACCTACAATATACAGGTAAGTCTATTTGCCCTCTGTTACCCTCTTTCCAACAATCATGGAAGTGCACAAAGGGGTTCCCCAAAAGGAAAATAGTCTTCCAAAGCTCTCCTGTCAACTTCCATGATTGTTGGAGGGAGGGTAACCACCTAAGTCGCCTTCTTGCCTTCTCAGTTCTGCCCTCTGTTAACCACTTAGACGATTTATCAACTTGCAACAGATTTGCTTTTTCCGGGGCAGCCGGTCCTTGTCGCACACATACTCCGCAAGCTTGGAGACCACCTCGAGGCATGGCTCGCTTGAGGCGAACATACCAACTTGAAACATCATTTGACCACGGGATCAGCTTCCACATATTTGGATCTGAAGTTCACTGGGGAACTCTGGACATCATTCAAGTGGTCTTCGTGTCCACCGTTTTGGAAGGCATTCCCTACTAAAGCGAGAGCAATCTGGTCATTTGGTGTTCCTTTAAAACCAACCCCCCCCCCCCAAGACGAGAAAGTACCTCCGAAAACGACACAATTGGTTGCTGATGTGGCTATGAGCTTTAATGAGGAACATGGTCCCCTACCAAAAATCACAGCCATGAGGCGAGGAGGACCTCCCCCACCAGGCAGCACGCCGCCGCGCCTCGCCGATCTTCTTCTGCATCGCTGGGGATTTCTGGCGGTCACAAACAAACACCCACGGGACGTTCAGACATTCACAGAAACCTTCAGTGTATCACATTGCTCCTGTGGTTGTCCAAAGGCTTTCCCGTAGTGAATGACAGTTCATTAGAACTAAAAATAATGTGTACATGTTTACTGTGTCTGATTGTATGTGTATATATGTTTATATACACACATGCCCATGTGTCTCAAGCATTGCGTCAAAATGATGTTCCCGTCTATGGAACCCTTCTTGGTTTCTGTTTGTGCTGCCGAAGGATCTCGAAAGGCTTCCACTTGACAACCCTCAAACCACCTACCCTTGAGGCATCATCACGAAGAGCCTGTCGCTTTGCCCTAAAAAAGGACAAATGTTTGCTTCCGGCTCGAATCATCTTCCCAACAAGACCTGATTCTGCCGGGGGGGAGGGTGAGACCGTTCCAAGGTCACTTATACATTTACCGGTCCCCGTGCATGTCTGCCTCCTGCTCGTAGCGGCGCAGAAGCTCGTTCGCCACCTATCAAAACTTCCGCAAGGCAATTGGAGAATTAGAGGCGGTCGTTCCCCTTGCTTGGGTTGTCCAAAATGGGAGGAGGTGTGGGTCAAAAGAAGTAACCAGAATATGGACCTTCGGGTGGTCGCCTCTCCATTTACCGGGGCAACCCATTTTGAGGGGAACAGATTTTTGGGGGCCCACTGCCAACCCGCAGGCCACCATGACAAAGGGATCGTCACAACCTCGCGTAAACCCGAATCGGCGATGCGGGTACCCCTCGGGATAAAAGAATTGAAGCAAGAGAAGAATCCAGAGTGTCGGCTTGGATGTCCAAGCGCTGAGATTCGGACCGCCCCCCCAAGTCTGAATTCCCCCCTTTTCCCCCCCCCCCCCCAGTGAATCAGGGCATGCAGTTGTAAAAGAACCGCCAACCTTCCCCTCCCAAGGATTGCCAAGTGCCTTCTTGTTCAGTGGACAGCACAGGAAAATGTACAGGACACGGGTCTTCAGATCATGGACCAAAATGCGAAAACCAAAAGGCCAGGCCGGCTTCGGGAACGCTCCTCAAGTCTGAAGCTTTTGTTTACCACTGGTACTGCTCCAAGCCCAAAAAGTGACGAATGTCCAGGAATAGGCCTCCAAGTCGGCTTTGGGAACTCACTTCCGTGGATTGGCCAGAACGGTCTGAAGCTGTTGCTTACCACTTTAAAGCGCACCCATTTGAGACCCAAGCGGGTGGTTGGGGGAGGTCCATCCAAGCTGAGTGCTCAGTATTCAGGGTGTGTTCTTGGCCACTCCACTCTTCTCAACACCTAGAGCAGTCTATCCATCGATGCCGTACCCGATTTAAGTCGTTCTATGGGCTTGAAGTCATGTAGGATTTGGGACTTAGAAGCCAGCAAGCCTTGCAAGAAAAAAGAGCATCTCGATCTTTTGTTGCCCAAGGTTGTCCCCAGAACGGCAGCTGTACCCCCCCCCCTCCCCGCCCCCTCCCCCCCTCCGGTTGACGTCTTACAGAAAAGAACCTTTCCTGCGGTTTTGCCACGAGAAGCTTAGAGCTGCCCGTTTTCAGATATGCTAAAAGTGAATAACTTTCAGTGGGTTAAATGGTAACTGGGACTCGCTAAACCCTAAAAACCAACACAGAGAAGGGGGTGGCTGGGAACCATCAGGGGGTTCTGGCAGTGAGATGTATCATGAAAACACGGCTTCCATAGTTTGACTTTTTCGAAGCCCCGAGAACCCCTCCGATGTGGATGCGATTGATCTGGAAAAGTGGCTCCAGGAATTTGGCTTTTCCTTTGTGGGGGGAAGAAGGAGGCAGAGTACCACAGACGATCAAAAACGCTGGACTCCACAGATGTGGGCGAGTTCCCACCCGAGCTGCCTAGATTCACAGCCCCCTCAGCTTATCTACGTCCAACAGCGAAAGCGAGGCATTCCTAAGCAGGCCGCCTCCTTTTTGTGCGCATCTGATACCCTGGCGAACAGGCGGTAGGGAGTGGGGAGTGGAGAGAAGGGAAGTCTTCTTCAGGTGGTCGGCGATGCAAGTTCACAAGTGAGTTGCAACCTGCGCAACATCAGTACAAAAGTAAGGCCGAATTTAAGACGAAATTAAGCCATGACCATAGGAGCAAAATGTTGGGTTCTTCTCTAGCCCCTCACACTGGTTCGAGTGGGACACACTCGCATCGGTTTAATTGATTGGCCATCCCAGTTGCTTCCAGTAGACATTCTGAGTTGGCAACTGCTTGCCCTTGCCCCACCGGCACTGGGTTGTGCATCCTTCCGAAGCGGCTGGTAAAACAGAGTTCCTCAAAGGATGCATCCAACAAAACCTACGTTGTACGCGGATCCTCTCCTTCTTTCAACTGGTATTTGGGTGATGTTCGACATGTCGGTGCGCAGAAATTTGGTGCCAGACAGCTGGGTGAGCTCAGGCTTCCCCCTAAAGCCAAACATCACCCACCAAAAGGAAAGCCTTTAAAAGGTGATGCTCCCAGAAAAAGAATCGGCAGGGGAGCGAGCTCCTGTTCCTCTCTCCGGCGACTGGCGCCTCTCTCTTCCGCCCCTCTCAGACATTGCTTAGCCTGCAACATCCCTGCCAACCCCCGGATCCGCCAGGGTTCCTATGCCCCCATGGCTTAAACATCTCTCCACCCAAGTGTGATGACCAAATCAATTGAGTCACCAAAAAGACAAATCCGGGTGCGCCCAAAATGCTTCCTTCCTTCTTCGCCCCAGGACCATAGACGATTGACAATAAATTTGTCACACAGCAAACCCTAAAAAAATCCATGACTCTATCCGTACTAGTCACTAGTCAACAGCTGAGTTTCTACCACGGCACACATGTTCCATCATATGTCAGCTTCTGCTTTGGCCCACTGACCTTTCCAGGGGCCCGAGCGGAAGCCCTCAATAGCTGTATGACCGAAGCACACAAAGGGAATGAACATTTGGTTGCCCTGTACTGTGTACCCCGGATTGATGCTTAAACCCCTGGTTGATGAATTGGGGGCGGGGTCCCCCCTTTCAGTACAAATCCCTCTCTTTTGTGGGTGAAGCGCCCTGTTTGTAGGATGCGTTTGTACATCTGGAGTTCCCATCCACCAACAAAAAGGGAACCCACCTCCCCACCCACGCGCGCAATCTCGCGCGAAGCTCGGCGCGTTCTCCGCGCCTGGCGTAGACGAAGTCCTTCTCGGATCCCCGCGTGACCAGCTGGCGCAGCAGCACACAGTCGTGCCTGGCGAAGGCATCCAAGGGCGAGAGAGGGTCGAAGTCTGGTTGTTAAACCAAAACGCAGAAAACGAGGGAATGAAGCAGATCTGAAACGGTTCAGGGCGAGAGAGGGTCGAAGTCTGGAAATGAAGGAACACCAACGGCCAAGGAAATGAAACAGATCTTCCAACATGTCCCAGTTAAAGATCACACCAAGAGGAAACTCATCCAATGACAGCCAGAAAATGATTCTTAAAGTTCAGGCCAGCTGAAAAGGCAAGCGAAACAAAACAAAGCACCCCAGAGGTGGCTTCTCAGGGCTGTGGGACCCGTTGGCTTTGGAGTCTGATCCACTGGTATATTCTATGTGAGCGCACGGGCTAAGCTGACTGTGGACAAACCTTCGGGTCACGATGGCATCCTTTCACGGGCCGGTTCTGCCGGTTGAGCAGGGGGAAGTGTCCAAAAAGATGGGTATGGATGTGCTGTGAAAATGCTTTTATGAGTTTTCACTCAAGAGGAGGGGAACGGTACTGTGGTCCTTGGATGGCTTCCTCACGTAGCTGTCAAAGCCTTCCGTTTGTAGGTAAGCGCTCATTTGGAGGCGTGTGTCAAGTAGTGACACCTCTCTCTTGTACTGTCTAAAGAGATGCAAGATGAAAAAGTCTCGCCGCGCTGTCCATTTTTTCTTGACACCTTAGCCCTTTTCAACTGTCGGTTCCGCCGTCAGAAGATCTCCGCAGCCCAAGGCCTCATGATTTCCAGCAAAACAAAATGGGGGGGGGGATTGAAGGCACCCTTGTCCCTATGCCACATGACTCTTCCCTGAAACAGGAGAGGAGGATTTTTGCGACGCAAACAAGAAGGCCAGACCATGGAGCCATGGCTTTTGACCCGAGGGAAAGAGTGTCACTTTCTGAAAGTCCAGGGTGATTTTGGGCCACCTGCAGTGTGTTTTAGCGGGTTGGGCGGATTCCGCATTAGGGAACGAGTTGAAAACCCCTGTAAGCTACCATGTGCGGCTGGTCTGGAAATATTTGGAATCCACTCGACAGGGTTTTGCGGAAGATACATCTAAAAGCACCGGAGTTAGAAGGGAATCCTGCACATCAGCAAATGTGACACTAAATTCGGCGTCGTGGTCAAAAACCCCTCTGGGCCACGGTCACGGTTCATTTGGGTGCAGCTCAAACTTTCAGAGCCAGGGGACGCAGGTTTGAGTCAACCTTTCCATGCACCGGGCAAGTTCCATTTTGGGTACCTGGACCCTCAAACTAGCCTTAAGAAGGGCAAATCACCACCCATAATTTTGGGGGCAACAAACAGGGTCCAGTTACCTATCTTTCAGCGTCACGCCCGTATGGGGAACCTTCATGGCTGTCTGGACTTCCGACACCCAACCCGTCCGCGGCTAAGCCGCCCCGTCCGTGCCTTCGCACTCCTTCATCCACATCGGCGCTTCCCAGCACAGTCCTGAATGAACTCTGCGGGACCACAAACATGCCCAACCCACCTGAGTCATTTTGAAAACCGATCGGTATTTGTCTGGTCTGCTCAAAAGCATGTGAAGTATTAAAAAGGCGGCGAAGGAACCCATTCATGGTTGGACCCCTTACTAACCTTCATCCACCCTCAGCTTTTGCGGGGACTTTTGAGCTCGTCCTCTTTATGTCCGTGCCACATCGACCATGGACTGATGTTTTCACGGAACACTAGGTGAGCCACGATCAAGAGTCTTCACTCTATGCAGGGGGGCCAGATCTTTGAAAGCAAAAAGTCCCCAGGCACAAGCCTGAGCCCCAAGCCCGGGGTTGAACAGGAACTCTGCCGTTTTTAAGGCCCACTTGAACTCTAAAAACTGTGGGTGTGTGTGGGGGTGCCACCCACAAAAAAAAAACTCTAAGATATCGTCGATTCAACTGCACGCCAAGGAGTCATCATGAAGCAGAGTCGAAAACCCGAATCAGCAACCTAATCGAAATCTGCGAAACCCCATGGCCGCATTCCTGTTTCAAGTTGCCCCAACATTCAAATTGGGGAGGGAGGTAGGCCATTGGATCATCTTGCAGCTTGGGTCCGAAATTCGTGGTCCCAAATCCAAAACAAAATCTCCCCGCCCCTGAGATTCGGGAAATCGCGAACTGGCACAAGGAGCTTGCGGCGGCTTGAACCGAGACCTCCAGTCGCCTGACAAAATTCATGGGGGGTATGGGTTCTATCTTGCAGCGACAATTGGGACGAGCGGCACATCACCAGAACTCACCAAACAAGACATGGAGCTCATTCCCAAACCAGAAAACGGAATCACTGGGGAAAGGAGAATCATGGGGTAATCGCTCGCTTGAAAGCCTCCAAATCGCAATTAATTGCATAAACCCAAGTTTATGAATATGGGGGATGTCCTTCTGTTTTTGCGTCCGGGGTTCATCATTGTTTGAGGGGTACACTCCCGTCAATAAGCAGCGGTGTACTACTCCGGGGCCAACATTAGTTTGAGACTCGCATCTTGGGCCTCCCCCTACAAGATCGCTGGGCCACCCCGGCATCATGCCAACAATCAGATTGTCCGGCTCAGCTTGCTTCGCCTGCTGATACCTCGGAACTTGGTGTCTGGCCAACTCTCCTTTACAAATACGCGAAGGGAGCGAAAACCAGGCAAAAAGTGATCGATGTTGCGCAAGGGGAAGCCACCAGGCACAAGAAGTGCGAAGGGAGAAGAAGGCAACATTTGCCGGTCAGCTGGAAGGTTCGGGAACCGCAACGTGGACCATGCTGGTGGCTCCCCCTGTTGCTTGCTTGGTTTCTGTTTAAACCCACTCCTATCAGGGGTACCCACAGGTAGCGTCTGGCTGACCACTCATGTGAATTATTTGGAGGTGTGGAGTTATATGCCATTTGGAGGTGCTATTGTGTTTTTCCCTTTTCGACGGCACGCTTGCTTGGTGGTTGGGAGGAAAGCCGCACTACTGCTTCTTGGTGGCGTCCAAGCATGAGGGCTCCGGCACGCACAAAAACGCCTCAGGTTTTGGGAACCCGAAGCCCGAGGGAGGGCGGCTCTCATGTTCGGACATCTCCCAGCGGCGGGGACCTCGGAATCCCCGGGCCGGCCCCCTGGTGGCATGGCACCAAGGGAAGGGCTGACTGAGCCGGGCCCCACCCATTTTACTTGCAGTGGGCATAGGAGAAGCTCGCAGTATCATGTTTGGCACAACCCAAGGACGACGTGAAACTCCTTTGGCTCTTGCAAAGGCTCATCAGCACATCCACCCAGTTAGACCGTGGTGAACACTTTCGGTCTACTTCGACCTTCTGTCGGGTGCCGTGTGTTAGGATTTGCATTCCACCCCATCCCCCACTTTCCCAACCGAAACCTTTCAACTGACACACATTTTTCCTCTGGGCTCCGTTCGGCTTCCCAGAGCCCAACACGAAAACGGGTGGCACCCGAAATCGGCTCAGGGAACCCAACCCGCTGCGTGTCTTGTCTTTTCCTCGAGGGGTACCCCCTTTCTTCGTAGAAGCCAAGAGGAAAACAGCAATCCAAGCCAAGCCGGGTCAAAAAAAAAAATGCCCCTCTCGTCTCTACCTAGAAAAGCAACACCGCCGCATATCCTGGCATAAGCTGCACCGGACCATATCGACCTGGCCGTTGGGCCCCCCTGCATGGTCTCCGCCTGTTGCCGAACGGAGTTGTCCGAGGTCTGCAGGCCCTGGCATTGGAAGAATCGGTGAGTTGGATCGGTGATTTGGCCGGTCAAAAATCGGGTAACCCCAAAATGGCAGCCGATCGGTAAATGGAAACAATGACAACCTGTGGTCCAATTCCTGGTGGTTTCATTTTGACCCATACCCATTTGGATTGGAAACCACCGATTCTTGGAAACCGATTTTAATTTGGATTGGAAGGCAATCCGCTTCCTTCTGCTTGGTGATTTGGAGCCCGGTGGTTTGGTGAAAGAGGGGGTTCCCATTTACCCTCTACAAGAACCAGGGACCCCTTCAAACTCCAAATCCAAACCACTGATTGGAACGCTGAAATCAAAGACTTTGCTCAGGGCCTCAAAAACGAAGTAGCCCAAAAAAGGAGAAGCGGCCGGGTTCGTTGGAGAGGTGGCCTTTGATTCGGGGCACGGCAAGGAAATCCCAGGCCAATGCCATGGGAACTCCATCAAATCGAAAAAGGGATCCTTACATTATACACCTAAACATTGCCTTGTAAATGGTGGTTTCCCTTTGTTTTGGTGGGAAAGGCCATGTTTCAAATGGGCAAAATGTATCTGTTAAGGAGCCCTGCGAAATAAGCACAAAAAAAGACAGGCAGAGAGTGGCCGAGGAGTGTCCAGCTGTTATCAGCTGGGGTCCAAAACATTCCCTCGTAACCTTTTGAACAGCCTTCAAATAAAGGCCATGTGCCGCAACAACGAGTATGTCAACGCCCAACATGTTGATGTCTCTTTTCCCACGGAAAAAATACTTTGGGATGCCATGCAATGCTTAACACCACCACGAAAAGGGCACAGAAAGTTGAGCTTTGTGTCAGAACCAAAACCTGAATACTAAGGGGGTCGACTGGTCGACCCCTGCAAAAAAAAGACACTAAGAACTCACCTCATCACTGCAAATAAAGCACATGTTTTCTGTGCCCTACTCACATGGTCTACCCAAACCGACTTTTTTTGATAGGTCCGGGAACCCAGGGAGCGAGAGAACCAAGAGAGCGAGTGTGTTCTTTCTCGGGATTCCCCCGTGTTTGGTGGTTGTCCAGGGAAACTAAGCTGCAAACAAAACGCCCCATACTGATGGACGAAATCCATTTCGCACCACCGTTCAGAAACCCTGGCATGAGTTGATTCCCTATAAATACCAACAAACGTCATGGTTTCAACCATGGCTCCAAAGTGGTGCCTAAGCGGATTTCGTCCGTCCACATGTCTTCCCACCGTCCCTTTGGCCTTGAGCAGCTCCACGAATCTGGTTCTGTCGACCATTTCGCCTGCAATCCAATCGAATCGATGCCCTGAGTTTTCACGGCAAGTGAGATCTTGTTTAGGGGATCCCCCAGAATGATGCTCTTTTCCTCTTGGTTTCCCTTCGTAAACACACACAAAACCAAAAAAACTCAAATCGGAAGTACTCTACCGCAGAATGGTAAAATCAAGCTACTCAGGAGCACTTTACGCTCCACAAAATCACGGTACTGGGAGGGGAAAAGGGTGGGCCAGATCCAGTGTTCTCCAAGCCAGTCTCGCAACAAATGCATTGTCAAATATGTCTGTCCAATTGGTGTGGTAGCAAAAGAACTCTGCTTTTTTCAGCCCCCTGCTCAAAAACAATCAAAACCAAAAAACTTGAAACCTGAAAACATGCCAACAACAGTGAAGCGCTCTTCTCAGCTGTTCGCCCCATTTTTCGCCGGATTTGGGAGCACAGCACTTCCTGAATGCTGAAATCCCTCCAAGGCGCGAAGAGAACACAAGACAAAAAAAGGGACCTCACACGATTGGACCCGCGTTGGATCAGCAAGTTGCTAAGGATAGCCGCTGGAAAGCCGCCGTAAGCGCCAACCCCTGGGCTATAACCCGGGTGGCCGGGACTCGGCCGAACCTCCAAGTCTCACGAAATTCCCCGCAGGGGAACTCAAGACATGTCTCCCATGGCTGAAAGGGATATGAAACTCTCGATGAAATCCCCAGAAAGACTCCCAGATCTCCCCTTCTGTTCATGGTGAATTTGTCAATGCCCCTTTTGAAGCTCCCCAAAAGGAGCGGAAAAGCAGCCTTTCATCCCTACCAACACAGGAATCATGTCTCATCAAGCAAGACGAACCTACTGGAGGGGGCGCGCAAAGTGAATAGCTGTCAAGTGACGCACAGGTCCGAGAGAAATGGGATACAGAAAGGTTCCTGAATTCGGCGACCAATGGACCACACCAGATATGTGTTGATAGCACCTCACATGGTTGCCTCCAATGCATATTCCAAGAGCACATGACGTGATCAGTCTGTTGGATGCAAATGCTTCAAAATGGTCCGCACGTAAAACCAAAAAAATGGAACCCCTTAATTGACCAGAACTTACCGCGAATGTGGTTGTAGTGTGAAAACGGGGCACTTGGTCCTTCTGCTTATGTCCTGAGTAGATAAAGCGGTCTCCCCTATTTCAATGGTAAATGAACCGGTCCAATACTGCCTTCCATCTAGTGGCTCACGTGTGCCATGGTCAAACAGCCCCAGGAACTTGCGGGTAGGGGCGGGCATCATGGTCATCGAAAACCGCAGGGAGAAACAACGACGCGCTCCCTGTATTTCCCCTTAGAACATCACCTGATCCAAAGGACACTCACTTGAGATGGCGCCCACAGGTGATGCTCCGCCCAAGTTAAGGAGCGCCCCAAACCGATGCACGTTCAGCTCTGATAAGATGGCTACAAATGTCCATACAAACACTTGTTGTATATCATACATGTATATAAAAAGCGTATATATAAATTTGGCCCCGTTTTGGATGCCCGATGAGAACGGGCCACTCTCCAACCATCAACCAATGCACTTGGCCAACCCTTTGCCCACGCGCAATGCGCTGTGCGCGTCGGCCTCGACGTATGGCTGGTGGAACCAAAACTGGACCACAACCTCACACCCTCGCTTGAACCCTAACAGCAAGCGGTGCAGGAAACCGATCCCAAAATCGACAGAATCAACGTGACACCGACCCTCTTCTCACAAATGTGCCCTCATACCTTTGTTAGTTTTACATCACGCGAATGCCAAATGAAGCAAAGAAACTGGCGTACTCGCCTGATCGTTGAATGCCGAAGACACACATGTGCATTTAGTGACTCTGTACACAACAGTTTGTGGTTGACACAAAATGACAGCTAAGCGCTGGAAGGCAGCAATTGAATCCTGAGGTCAGGGCAAGACCTTAGGAAGGTGTCTGATGGAATGTAGCCATGAAACACACCCTATGGCTCCGTTTTGGGGTGGACGAACCTCCATTTGCCAGCTATGTTGATGTTCACCAGGGTCACAGCCTTTTGACCCGCCACACACCGAAGGAGAGCTCAAGGACGAGTGCGGAGCTTCGGAGCTTAGGGGCCAGGGACCGCCGAAGCCTCGGCCCGAACCGATGGCCTCTGCCTCGCTTCGCCGTGAGAAAGTTGCACAGAGGCTCTCCGTTTTGAGCACCGGACGTGGGTTTGCTGGAGCAACTTGAGCTCACATCATAAAACGTGCCAAAGATGTCTGACGCCTGAAGGATCCTCCGGCCCTGTCAGACTGTCTGGCAGCGTGCAAAACGTTCACCTAGTTCCGTTCAGCTCAAAAAAGAGTTTGCATGTGCGTATAGTTGTACAAGAACTAATTCAGTTCAGTTCAGAAAAGAACTTGTGCAATTGTTTGTGCCCACAGCTGCTGTCTGTTTGGCTCCGCATAGATGCTCTGAATTACGCACTTTTGCTGAAGTTGCAGTGGGTTTCCCACCAGGAAGAGCCTCCATGAAGAAATTACAGAGCCGTGGTCAAGGCAAATGCATGGAGCCACCGTGAAGGGGGTATCAAGTCAGTGTTGTGAGATGACAGGAACTGGCTGGGTGGCTCACGTGCCTGCTTCTTCGCGATGTTTGCAAGCTGTGGCTGCCACTCGGTCGATGACGATGTTTCTTTGTTCCCTCCGATGGGGTGTTTCCGCGCGCTTTTCGCGTTTCGTTTCCCACTGTAAACAAGGGTTTCAGGGCCATTTTTGACGACCTGCGCGCGGGTTTGGAGCAGTGGGCGTATGTTGCGTTCACGGGCACACTTTCATGACTGAGCGCACGCCTGCCACATGATAAGCACCCACATTGACGCACGCATTATCATCATTGCGTGCATGCACACATTATCGTCATTGCACACATTATCATCATTGCGTGCGTGCCTGCCACATGATCAGCATCCACGTTCATGCACACATTATCATCATTGCACACATTATCATCGTTGCGTGCATGCGCGCATTATCATCATTGCACACATTATCATCATTGCGTACATGCCTGCCACATGATCAGCATCCACGTTCACGCGCACATTATCATCGTTGCGTGCATGCCTGCCACATGATCAGCATCCACGTTCACGCACACATTATCATCGTTGCCTGCATGTCTGCCACATGATCAGCATCCACGTTCACGCACGCATTATCATCATTGCGTGCATGCCTGCCACATGATCAGCGCCCACGTTCACGCACACATTATCATCGTTGCGTGCATGCCTGCCACATGATCAGCATCCACGTTCACGCACACATTATCATCGTTGCGTGCATGTCTGCCACATGATCAGCATCCACGTTCACGCACGCATTATCATCATTGCGTGCATGCCTGCCACATGATCAGCGCCCACGTTCACGCACACATTATCATCGTTGCGTGCATGCCTGCCACATGATCAGCATCCGCGTTCACGCACACATTATCATCATTGCGTGCATGCCTGCCACATGATCAGCATCCGCTTTCACGCACACATTATCATCATTGCGTGCATGCCTGCCACTTGATCAGCATCCACGTTCACGCACACATTATCATCATTGCCCCAAGGGCATATTTGAACATCGATGAAAACAAGCAGCGTCTGTGGGCGTAAAAACCCCAAGACGCATTGAACAGACAGAAAACTCTGGACCGAAAAACCGCGCGGCGAGAGCCCATCGAAGCGTTGTTGTTTGAGCGAATATTGCTCTTGACAGCTTTCCTTTATCTGCGTGTTGGCTTACTCACGTGAGGAAGCCTCAAACAGTCGGCTGCAATGCCTATTCTCAATGTGTGTGCGTGTGTGTGTGTGTATCTTTCGTGTCTGCGTCTGCGTGTCTGCGTCTATGGTTGTTTTCTGTGTGTATCTGTGTCTGTGACTGTGTTTGCGCCTCTTTCTTTTTGTTTCTCTTCTTTCTTCTTTCTTTCTTTCTTTCTTTCTTTCTTTCTTTCTTTCTTTCTTTCTTTCTTTCTTTCTTTCTTTCTTTCTTTCTTTCTTTCTTTCTTTCTTTCTTTCTTTCTTTCTTTCTTTCTTTCTTTCTTTCTTTCTTTCTTTCTTTCTTTCTATCTTTCTCTTTCTATCTTTCTCTTTCCATCTTTCTCTTTCTTTCATTTTTGTATATTATTTATTTATTTATCTCTTTCTTTCTTTCTTTCTTTCTTTCTGTCTTTCTTTCTTTCTTTTTTTATTTATTTCTTTCTTTCTTTCTTTTTTTCTTTCTTTCTTTCTTTCTTTCTTCCTTTCTTTCATTTTTTATTTCTTTCTTTCTTTCCTTCTTTCTCTTTCTTTCTTTCATTTTTTTTATATTATTTATGTCTTTATTTATTTCTTTCTTTCTTTCTGTCTTTTTTTCTTTCTTTCCTTCCTTCCTTCCTTCCTTCCTTCCTTCCTTCCTTTCTTTCTTTCTTTCTTTCTTTCTTTCTTCTTTTCTTTCTTTCTTTCTTTGTTTCTTTCCCTTTTTTTCTTTCTTTTTTTCTTTCTTTCTTTCTTTCTTTCTTTCTTTCTTTCTTTCTTTCTTTCTTTCTTTCTTTCTTTCTTTCTTTCTTTCTTTCTTTCTTTCTTTCTTTCTTTCTTTCTCCCTCCCTCCCTCCCTCCCTCCCTCCCTCCCTTCCTTCCTTCCTTCCTTCCTTCCTTCCTTCCCGTTTTTCTTCCTTCCTTCCTTCCTTCCTTCCTTCCTGTCTTGCTTTCTTTCTTTCTTTTCTGTTTTTTCTTTTCTTTTCTTCCCTTCACTTCCCTTCCCTGCTCTTTCTTTTCTTTTCTTTTTGTTTCTTTTCACTGTGCCTGCTCGGCACTCCTAAAAGTGCCTGCTCGGCACTGCCCAGAAAAAACCGCCCCCCAACGCCAGACCCGCGGAGTTGTGCTTCTTCGCCAGGATGTCCGACCTCACACGCACGGCAGCCTGACAGGAAAAAAAACTCTGGGGGGAAGGGCACTTCCTGGGGGGCTGAACCACATGCCGATGCCAAACTCATGCAAAATCGTTCCACATGCAAAACCGCGCAAGAAAACAAGCTGTTCCACATGTCATGTCAAAATCATGTCAAAATCATGTAAAAACAGCGCCATGCAAAAATCATGCCAAAATCAAGCAAAATCATGCCATGCCAAAACCATGCAAAATCGTGCAAAACAAGCTATTCTCCCCGTCCGTAACTGCACATACGGCCTGGGAGAATGTGAGTCGCCAGGCAAAATCGTGCGAAACAAGCTATTCTCCCAGTCCATCGTAGATGCCTGGGAGAATGCGGGAGGTACGGCGCAGCCAAACAAAATAAGACTGGCCCCGTAAAAAAAGGAATGGCAAGTTGGGCGAGACAACGACAACAGATCATAGAGACCGCGGACGGCGGCGCCCGGGCTTGCGCGGGGGCGGATGGGCCGTCGCGCTGTGCGGCGGACCGAAGGCCTACGCGCTGCTCTCCCGCGCGGACGGGCAGCTGACCCGGGCGGGGCAGCACTACAACTCTCACCTGGGCCTGCGGCCTCCCAGCAGACTTCGATACAACCAGCCACAACCGCGAGGCCCCAAACAACTACATTCGGAGAGGACCGGCTGACCAAGCTGGGCAAGGGCTTCTTCCGCGACCTACAAGCGCCTGGTCCACGCGCCAGTGGTCATCCGTGGCAGGAGGCGCAGGCGGAACGCCGGGGCGGGACGGGGCTATGACGAGGCACCCGGTTCAGGAGCAGGTGGCGGGTCAGGCACAAGTCGAGGCCTCGCTGGGCGACCCCGCCCAATCCTGCAGCTCTCGGACCCAAATGGAGACGCTCCTGCGCCAGCGCATAAGAAGCCTAAGCGTGAGCTTCCAGTTGCCGCTCTGTGTGGCTGCTGGGCACTGACTGCCTGCTGACGCAGTGGCTGCCAAACGCTCTCGGACGGCACTGCCTGGTGACAACTCCCGCTGCTTGCTGGCCTGCCGGGCACCGGAAAGACACACCCTCTCTCTTTAGAGGGGGTTTCCCAAATGGACTCTATTCTACCTGACAGGCTCCTGGCAATAACGACCCCTAGATATGCTTGCAAAATGCCCCGCAGCTGCGTTTCTGCAAGGCGAGCTAAAAAAACAGTGAAAAAAAGAAAGAAAGTCAGCCAAACCAGCCAGAAAGCCAGCCAGAAAGCCAGCCAGAAAGCCAGCCAAGCCAGCCAGCCAGCCAGAAGCCAACCAAACCTCTTTTTTTGCTAGCCAAAGACCAGCCAGAACCAGCCAAACAGCCAGAAGCCAACCAAACCCAGCCAGAGGCCAAAAACCAGCCAGCGCAACCAGCCAGAAGCCAGCCAAACCCAGCCAGAAGCCAGCCAAAAAGCCAGCCAGGTTTCCTTTCAGCGGCCTCGCCTTGCAGAAACAAAGGCAGCTGCGGGGCATTTTGCCAAACCGCATATCTAGGAGTCGTTATGTTGCAGCCACACCTAAAGACGAGCAACACCAGCTACGCGACGGCGCGGCACGACGCGCAGTACTTCTCCAGCTTGCTGAGCTTGTTCTCCCCCACAACCTCTCGGGTCTGCCGCATCCCGCTGACCAGGGCACGTCCTTCATTGACCCCAAGTCGATCAAGATCGCCTTCCGCGTTAGGAACACGGACGGCACCAACCCGCTGGCCCCAGCCACGCCCAAAGTAGTAAGGAAAGGCAGCTTATAGGGACCAACTAATTTTCGTTTTTTTGCAAAAAACCCGCAAAAACTGCATAATTTTCCAGCTGAACTTATCACCAGCGATGTCACCGCTTCGTCACCGCTCCGTTTTTGGTGCAAAAAGCGCTCAAAACGGCCAACTCCGAAAAGTTTGTTTTTTCGTGTCAAACGTCAAAAGTGGTTCATGAATGGGCAAGGTTGCCTCATGAATGCCCCGCAGGTCATAACCACTGAGACAAGTGTCCTATAAAACTATGCACACAATGCATAGCTTCACCGGTCAATTCGTCATGAGGCCGAGGTGTCCCAAGCGTTTTGTCCGACGCCATCGGTCACTTCATCAGAGGTCTCATACTTTCCCTCACTTCACATACAGCTAAGGGCTGTTGCGATATTTATTTATACAAACCTGCTGCGAAGACCCCGAATGACCCATAGCGACTCAAGGGAGGGCGTGTTGCGAAAGTACAACGCCCCAGCGATACAAGTACGTAACGACTACTCCTAAGAAAACATGTTTGAAGGACCTGTCACGGGCAACATCCCGGAG